GAAAAGTGCTAAATTTAAATTTTTCAGTATTTTCGTTTTAAATGAATATCTATAGAAAAATGTTTCGAGTTAAATGTATGTGGAAAATGTATATATTTAGTTTATCCTCTAAGCATTTATAGAGGTGCTGCAATAGGTTGTACAAAATAACCGGAAAAAGCCTATAATAACTAGATAGGAAAGTCAAGTGTTGGACACATCAGATTTTTTAGTTAGTAAGTAGTTATACAATTAGCTATAAATGTAAATATTAGTTTAATTAATTACGTTTATAATGTTTACATAACCAATTATTTAGAAAATCACCTTTTCTTAATCTGAACATCTACAATGTAATTATATCAAGGACAAGCGAAGGTAAATTAAAAAATTAATCGACTTACCTTTAGGAAGATTAATTGTAATTTTCCGAGCTTGTCCGTAGATATAATTATTTCCTATACCACCCTAATATATGTGGATGCACACACACACGCACACACACGCACAAACACGCACACACCCACACACACACACACACACACACACACACACACACACACACACACACACACACACACACACAAACACACACACACAACTTACATTTTTCTAAAATTAAAAATGTTTTAAAACGTATGTTTTACGCGTGTTTGTTTTCTATTTATGCACAGAAATAAGCCTGTAAAGTGGTTTTACAACAGCTACGACACAACAAAAACTGTGACAAAATTTAAAAATTTTAATGCCACGGTACTGACATTATTTCCACGGTACTGACATATAAATGAATATTTTTTTTACCAATCGAAAGATTGGTATAAAATTGCAATAAAATTCAATGTAGTATGCATTAGATTGTAGTGATAAGAGATACATTTTATATTAAAAAATGAATTTTTATAGAAATTTATATATTTAATTTCAAAAATGAGAATCGGACATGCCACGGTACTGACATTTCTAGTATATTTATATGAAGCTTAAAAAAATACGAAGGTTTAGGATCTAATTCATAATGTAGGTTGTAAAATATCTTTAAATTTATAATATAAATAACTTTTTGATGAGGAAAACGATAAATAAAACACGACATAAAAAATCACAGTTATCGGAGAATCACCCATATCTGTATACAGATCTAAGGAAAATAAAGACGTAAAAATTGGGTAACAAATGGATTAATAATATCTATATATCACTGAGATAGATTAAAACAAAACATAATAAAAAATTATAGCATAGAACTAGATAAAGAATATAAATCATATCGAAATCATCTTTAAGAGCTAATTATTAAACAATAAAATTAATTTTACCAAAATGAAATCAACAAAATAACTAAAGAAATTATATCATATTGTAAAGGAATGTACAAATAAAAACTAAACTAAAAATTATAATTTACAGATATGACAGCACAGAATTTAATGATAACACGAATATGGCAAATTACTGCAACAATTACTTTTCATGGATTGGTCTAGATATGACAAAAAAAATCCAGAGATAGAGATAAACCATTCAAGTTGAAATACACCAATCCACATTATCTTTTTCTATTTACAATAAACAAAAATGACTTAATTACCAACAAATATAAATAAAAAGCTGATTTATAGATCCTTGTACTCTTAACCCATATCTTTAATTTGTGCTTTGAAACAGAGACAATTGCTACTCACTTTAAATCGAAAGTAGTAGTTCCTATACACAAAAACGGATCGAAAAGTATCGTCCCATAAATCTGATAAACGGTTATGCCAAAGTATTTGAAAAATATCTAAAACAAAAATTAATTGAGTTCTTAAATCAGTGTAACATTCTGCATAAAAATCAGTTCGGATTCTTGGCAGGTGCAACGATGCATTATATGAATTTACAGTAAAAATAATGGAAAACCTTAACACTGGTAGGAAATGTGCAGGAATATTTATTGATCTGGCAAAGGCCTTTGACACGGTTATTGTTCTCCGCCACTGCCTACATTGAATAAAAACGTTTTGTTTTCTTAGCAACGATAATATTGTCATAAACAATAAGTCAAAAATAATTAATTTTTAACGTATTTTTGTATTTTCTAGTAATATATTTCTTATGTAAAGAGATCAAACAGCCAACTAAAGATGTAAGAAACCCATGTCACCAGTGTGACTTTCGCAGAAGTTTAATATGTTTGGAATGCACACACGGAAAAAATGTGACTAGAAAATTTTACTACAATGTTGTAGTAGTAGACTTGTAGAAAAATACTTAACAATTTGTAGAAAATTTTACTACAATTTATAGTTAAAAACTATTCATTATTGTAGCAATTGAATTCTCGAATAAAATGCTACAACAATAGGAAAGAATTCCACAATGTTTAGTATATTTTACTATTGTTTGTAGAAGTAGAAATTTATTACAATTATCGTAATTACTACTACTAACTTCTGAAAAAATTTGTACAAATATTAATAATTATCTCTACAAAAAATAGTAATTTTCTCTACAAAAAATAGTAATAATTTACATTCCTTCTTATAAAAAATATTCAATTTTGTTCAAAAATATTCTATAATATTGTAGAAATTCTAAGTCATGTGAACAAAACAGAATTCTGCTATTGGCCAACGTTTTCTGACGTCGATAATAAATGGCCAGACAGCAGTAGCCGTTCGCCATGATCACATAACAAAGCATGGTACATATACGAGTACCTATAACACATTATTATATTATAAGCACCGATGCGTTTGAGAACATTTTAATAATAAATTCTATTGGTGGTAAGTACATTTATTGTTTTTGAATAATTTACCTCTAGATAACTAATTTAAATAACCGTAGATTATTTTAAAAAAAATAGTTGTGGCCAACGATCGAATGTTGTGCCCAAGATCGAATTTTGTGCCAAATTCAATGATTTTTTTTGTCTTATTTGTGACATACCTACTTTCTCATTTTTGTTAATTATCTGACTTAGTCATTTAATATCCAAATCAGTGTAAAAGTGATAAATATCCCCGTTTTAAGGGTATGAACAGTTCAATTGTTATTAATTTTTATTTCATATTTTTCAGGTGCAGAAAAGCCAACTGAGACTGAGGGTGCTATTATTACTGTTATTTATTACATAATGTAATTAAGACTTTGTATCTTTTATATTAAAACAATAAATTGAATATTTTATTAAGGAACATTTTTTTCTAGGTTATAATTATAATTATTATGGAATACTCCTACAAGTTTTATTAAAAATTACTACAATTTGTATGAATTTTTACTATTTATTGTGTAAAATTTTCGTATTTATTTTCATAATACGCAATACATTTTTAATATAAATTCATACATTGAATAGCAAAAATTATAACAATTTGTAGAACAATTCTTATGATGCATTTGGATATTTTTACTAAATATTGTAGATAATAACTCTACAAAACATTCCCCACAAATATTTGGAAATTTTTACTACAAATTGTCCCTGTCCCTATATGTACTATTTATTGTAGAGAAAAAATCTATAATTGTAGAAATTTCTTCTACAATTTTTTTTCCGTGCAGAACTATCCTCTTCTGAAATTAGCTGTCTGTCTTTACAGAAACGTTTACTGCAATTTAATTGCAAATCATGCCGTTCTTATGACTTTGTAAAACTATTGAATAGTAAAATTAAGGACAAAGAAATTATAATCAAGGATAAAGAAGAAATTATAAACAATCAAAATAAAATAATAAAAATGCTGCAAGAAAAGATTAAAGAATTAGAGGAAAAAGAGCAAAGTGGACCTAATCTATCCTATGCAAATGTTATTATGACTAACATTAACCCAGCTAATTTAAAAATAAGAATCAAAAATATGAAAAGTACAAATTCTGGAGCTGTGACAATCAAGTGTAAAAATAAAAATAAATCTGAAATTCTTGAAAATATAGCTAAAAGTAGATTAGCAAACTCTTATACTATTGAGACTTGTTAAAATAACAAACTTCAAACAACAGTTAAATAAAGAAGAAATTGAGAACTCCTTTTTGGACCAAAATGAAACATTGAAAATAAAAATAGAGATAATACAATATTTGGAAAATGTTCGGCATCAACTTTTAACCAATTAATGCAATTAAGGAAGGTATTTATTGGTTGGGAGCATTGCCCTGTTTATGAAGATTTGTCAATCCCTCGCTGTTTCTATTGTCAAGAGTTTTATCATAAAAAATAAAATTGCAGCATATCCTACTAAAATTAGCATATCCCTACTGCAGTGAAGAGCATGGACAAAAAGACTGTCCACAACATAGAAAAATTAAATAAAAATTCAAAATAAAGAATAATATTAACCACCATTCAACAGACCTTGAGTGTCCCACATTGCAATATCACATAAAGTTGCTAAAATCCAAAGTCGATTATTCAACTTAATGGTACTAATCGATCAAAATATTATCTTGAACAATTTAAGCCAATTAGAACAAAATCATCATCCTATATAGATCCAGGCGAATATGTATCCTTATTATCAAAAAAAAAGTTTAATATTATGCACTTTAACATACGAAGTGCGAACAAGAATTTCAATGAATTCCTGGCTTTAATTGAAACATACAAATCGTCGTCGTAGTTGTGAAGGGTCCTAACCCACAAATGAATAGTTTGGAGAAATTTAATATTGAAATTTTTCGGTTTATTAAATACTATGTTTTTTGGTCATATTGTTTTAAGTACAAATCGTATCTGGCTCTAATTTAAGCGTGAAGTTAGTAATATAATAGCAAATACATAAATGTAATTATATTTATTATATTTTACATAATTTTAGAACTTTGTGGGTTAGGACCTTTCACAATTTCCTGATATTACAAAAGTATTTATATTTAAGCAGTCCTAACACATAATTGACTACTTATTTTAGGTAGTATAATTAAAAAAAAATGTGTGTCTAACGAAATTTAATTGAGTAAAAAAATACATTGAAACATTCATTTTCCTCCGATGAAGAATTATCAACAGCAGTTTCTTGGCTAAGCAAGCCAGTCTAAAATGCGTGATAAGTTGATGGAATGGTACCTGAATCACATAGTTTTCTTAAACTTCTTAATTTGTAATTTTCAATTGACAATGCAGCTGAATATAAGGATTTCACTTCCAATAAGTCCGAATTATTTGCTCTTGTTGCAAGTTTTCTTATTTTTATACATTTAAATTCCGGGTCATTTAACCTACAAAATATAGTTAAAGGGTCGTTTTTTCTATATTGTAATCACTTAATTTTTAACCAGTTTACTGTAGAGACATCTTCTAATTTATTTTTATTCTTTATCAATTTTGAGGATAATGTTTTATAATCTTTAAAATCACAAAAATTCATTTCAGTGGTTGAATTATTTTTGTAGTTTTTGCAACAATATACCACCCATCTGGAGTATAAATATCAACTTTAGCGCCCCTACTTTCGATTGCGCTATGGACACTATCGCATTCCATTTCCGAGTGTCCTGACTCCATAAATTTTTGATTAATTATTTCTATAGGTAGTTCGGTAACAGCCTTTAAGAACATTGCTGCATTTATAACATTTCTGTTTTGGCCAGCTGCAGTATCTGCATAAAACGTAACTTCCTTGACGGTAGCTTCTAGATTGGATAAACAATGCCACAAACAAGTAGCAACCTCTGATGAACCTTTTTTTCCAACCCACTCATGCCACATATAATTATTTTCTGCCAAACTACTTAAATTATAGATTATTAAAACCTTCTCCATGTCCATTGTAAATACTTGAAACAAATTGTCATTCTTTTTCCTTTCCTTGTCCAGTTGTTTATGTTCTCTTGCCTCCTGTTTTCTTTTTAAATGTAAGTCATATTCTTCTTGTACATTTCGCTTTTCATCATCACTATAATTAGAAAATTTTATGCAAAAATCGCATTGATCTTTTTTTGGCCTATGGAAGCCAATATTAAATTCCGTAGTAAAAATATGTTTATAATAACTGAATTTTTCTGGAATAACTTCACGTTCAATACTATACGATTTAAAATCATTATAAAGTCTATATTCGGATAATCCAGTAGCCAAGTAACTTCTTTTTGAAGATTTTCGGCAGTAGTGTGACGAAACGACAGGCATAGACCTTATGTGATCTCTAATAATGTTCTTGACGTCTTCAGATTTCTTCTGGGGAGGCGGTTTTCTGCCCCTTCTGTCAGTTTCGATTGTTCCAGTATCTTTCAATTTTTTAATCGGTGTCTTTACTTTTTTATCAGAAATGTCCAAGGTGGCCACTTGATGTGTCTTAGCATTTGAGGTCAAATTATAAATTTGTGTAAATTGTCGTCGTGATGGACCAGTAGTGTAGCTTCTTTTTTTCTCAATACGTTTGACGTGTTGTCTAATGAAATTCCACCTGAGTTCTTCTCTAGTAAGTTTTAGATAAGCACGCAATATTTCCTCTCGTTCTTCGTTTGATATTTTGGTATTGCAGGAATAGTGACAATGGCAATCAACATCTTTTACAAAATGTGCTCGCTTGTCTCTTCCCTTTTGGGTCCTATATTCTGCACCTTCTATTCTTTTTTTTTTTTTCTTTATTTCTTGCCCATTCTTCTGGATTTCGCGACCTTTTTCTTTTTTAATTCCTTATTTACTTTAATGTGTGTTTCCACTTCCATACATTCTTTCTGGTTAATTTTTTTGTTATCTACTTCACTCTCGGTTTCGGAAGATTCTCTGTTTGATTCGTTTGGTTGATAATTTTCGTCATTGTCATCACTGACATCTTCCCAATCATTATAGGCCAAATCGTAATAATTACGCATAGGAGATTGGCGAGGAGATTGAAGCTGAGGACGTTGAAGCGCCAAACTTGTAGATGCGTTAACAGAGGGGCTTAATTTCGGCATATTTTCTTCAAAACCATTATTCATCTATGAAAAGAAAAATCATAATTATATTCAGTTCTAATAAAAAAATACACAACGAATCAATTAAAACTATGTAATTTTTTTTAATATTCCCCGATATTTCCTATTAACCCCTATTTCTACTATGCGTAAAAAAACTTTAATTTGAAACTAAAATTCAATAAAAAAAAAAAAACAAAACGCGTTCATTTACAATAAAAAATGTTTGAAAATAAATATCCTGAAATTATTTTTTTGCCCCTTTCCTGTGGCGATATATCGACCAAAGTCATTTTAAAGCTTTGTTAAAAAAAATAATTGCAAGCCACATAACATTATAATAATTTACTTAAACATAGGCATTCTTTTAAGCTTCAAAACACGTATCAAATTTAAAAAATATGTTTAACATTTTTTCTGTTGGTCTAATCTTAAAATCTAACAATAAATCCAAATAAAAACAACCTTTATATTTTTTTTCAAATATTTATCTTCTGCAACACTTTAATAACTTTGTAATCAAATAGTAAGGTTATGTTAACAAGGAGAACATACATTTTTACAATGATTAAATAATAAAAAATTATTTAAGGTAATAATATTGCTTACCTGTACAGTGGTACATATATTTTTTTTCACAGCCAGCAATTTTCTTTCCTCTCGTTAAATTATCCATGTTATTATAAAGTAAATAAACTGACCTGTATCACTTTTCAAGAAACAACTAACTGACTTAAATTTTGTAAACAACGGTCGGTGAAAATTAACGGATTGTGGGTTAGAACTTTTCACAATTCGTCATTTTCCTGAACTGGCGTAAAATACTTGGGAGTGAATGGTTCTATTTGACATAGAACTATTCACTTTATCCAGTTTGTGGGATAAGCCCAATAGCAAGTTTGTCAAAAATGTGTATCCTTACTAATGTAATTGATAGAACCTTTCACAAATGATAAATTAATCTATGGTTATATCAAAAATGGCCCTAACTCAATTTTTGTATTTTTGTGGGTTAGGACTTTCTTTGTTTTAAGTAAATGTTCTCAAACCGCAGCTGTCAATAATCTTAATATTCCTCGTTACACCACCATACACAATGGAGGAGAATTTAATAAAAAAGACGGTATTTTAACATTAATTAAATCTTATCTTAATTTTAATATAACTAATCATAAACTTAATTTATGTGTAGTTTTTATTTCTATAATAAATTTGTCAATTCATAATGTAACTTAAGAATAATAGCATTGTATAGACCTAATCCTAGTAATTTGACTTCTTTCATTGATGAATTTGATACATATTTAGACCAAACTCAACAAAATGCTAAAATTAAATTATTAATTGGGGACATCAACATTAATTTAATGAACAAAAATTATTTGTATCTAAACAAATATTACTGTGTGCTTGCTAAATATAGTTTTGTCCCTTATATTTTAAATCTTACTAGTGTTACACAAAATTGTGAATCATGTTTAGATTATATTTTTGTAAAAGAGTCATTTCATAACCAACAAAACATAACGTTTAACTCATTTATCCTTAAATGTTACATCACAGACCACTATCTTGTTTTATTACAGGTAAATTCCAAAACAAAAACAACAAATCCCTAAATTTTAATGAAAAAATAATTACCAAAATTGACAAACACAAACTACAAACCGCTATAAAAAGTACAAACTGGAGTGATATTTTAAATTTAGATAATCCCCAAATTGCTGCAGACTGTTTCTTGAGTAAGTTTAGTAAACAAATTGAGGATTCAAAAACTTATATAAAAAGCAGAAGGAAATATTTTATATTAAGTATAAGGGGTTAAAGAAAAGGTCCTTTATTTCTCGCAAGTCAATTTTAATTGGCGACCGGTTTCGAAGCTATTGCTTCATCATCAGGCACACCTAAATGGAATGTCAAGTAGTCAGTAGTAATAAAAACAATTATAAAAGTATGAACGGACATTAACAGATACAAAGTAACAGAAAAAACACAAAAGAAAATTAAACAATAACCTTTACTCACCTTGACTATTTCCATAAAGGAAGTGCTACATAAAGTTTAACAAAACGAGTTAAAAAAGTCATGTAATACCTACAATAGTATTTTTTAAAAAATATTTTTAGGTTAGGTTAAATCGCGAAATGTCTGATTGAATAAATTAATTATAACACATGTAAGACAATTATTAACTAAACAACACAAAATAGTTTTTACAAGCACAAACAGTTAAAAAAATTTTAAAAGAATATAACGTTAATTACAAATGAAAAGTAGTAAGTAAAAAGGTAAAAAGTAAAAATTATCAGACTCCCATGACATCTATCTAGATTTTAACGAATCAGTGCAGTAAACTGTAAATTTTTAATTTAGCGGATAAATAGTGTACTAAAAAAGGTGTTATTTACTGAAAGTGAGTATAGGTGGCGGTGGCATAATTTATTGATAGTAAAAATATTAAATTGGAATGAGAAAGTAAAAAATACTAATAAGAAAAATAGAACACTAAACAAGAAAATATGAAAAATCATATGAAAAAGTGAAAATTAAAGCAGATAATCAAAAGAAAAATTACTGTTACAGGAAAACGGAAAATAAGTTGACAAGTACGAATGTCAAAAAAGAAAAGAAAATTTGTGGTAAGTAACTGATTGAAGATCAAATGAGTGGGGGTATAGGTCAGAAATTAATTTAAATAAGAGCAGAAAACGTTGGGGTACTAATAAATTGAATTTGTGCATTCAAAAAGCAAGAGGGACCAGATTTAACATTTTTTTAAATGTCCAGGTTCTCAAAGTTATTCAGAAGGAATTTATTAGAAGTCATATGCAAAATGTCGAAGCCAATGCTAGAATCAAAATCGTGACCAGTGTCTAACAAATGAGCAGTAAAGTGAGAAAAACCAGTAGTGTTAGTATTAAGACAGCGTGTGTGCTCTTTCAGGCGTATTTTAAAATTACGAAAGGTCCTTCCCACATATGAGCATGGACAGTTTTTTAAACAAGTTAGTTTGTAAAAATATTTAAAAAAAAAATATTTTTAAAAAAATACTATTGTAGGTATTACATGACTATTTTAACTCGTTTTGTTAAACTTTATGTAGCACTTCCTTTATGGAAATAGTCAAGGTGAGTCAAGGTTATTGTTTAATTTTCTTTTGTGTTTTTTCTGTTACTTTGTATATGTTAATGTCCGTTCATACTTTTATAATTGTTTTTATTACTACTGACTGCTTGACATTCCATTTAGGTGTGCCTGATGATGAAGCAATAGCTTCGAAACCGGTCGCCAATTAAAATTGACTTGTGAGAAATAAAGGACCTTTTCTTTAACCCCTTATACTTAATCCCTACTACTCACATATGGCTACCCTCACTCCAAAAAAATATTTTATAATAAAACTATGGATAACAGAAGGTTTTATTATATCAATAAAACGTAAAGATAAATTAAAACAAAGTTTAAAACTACATTTCTCACCAGAACTTGAATGCGAGTACAAAATTTACAGGAACAGTCTGAACATTTTATTATCAAAAAATGACTATTTCTTTTCCAACTAATTTCTGACACTACTAATGAAAAAACTAATAAAGAAACTTAATCTTTCTGAATGGTATTGTCCCCAGTCAATTCAAATCTTCTATAATTACTTCTGTACATAAAGCTGAAGATTAATCAAAAATTTCAAATTATAAACTGATTAGTGTGATTAATAATTTTGAAAAGATCTTTGAAAAATATCTAAAAACTCGATTAGTGGAATTTTTTGATAAACATAATATATTACATGAGCAACAGTTTTGTTTTCGGGCTGGCAAATCGACGAGTGCTGCAATGTGCTCAGTTATTAGGGAGATTACAGAGTGTTTAGATAATAATAAGAAATGTATAGCAGTTTTTCTGGATCTTGCTAAAGCGTTCGACATTGTGAACCATGAAAGACCCCTGCCTATACATCCTAGAACGTTAAGGTATTCGTGGCGTAGTTTTAGATGTTTTTAAAAGTTATCTGATAAACCGGGAACAATACGTTAAAGTTAATGGTACGGTAAGTGAGCCTGGAATTGTAAAAATTGGTGTACCTCAAGGTACTGTTCTTGGCCTAGTACTATTTCTGACGTATAAAGGGTGTTTCAACAAGAGTTTCCGGATGTTGATAATAAATAAAAGAAAATGTTTACAACATAAATGACAATTTTTTATTGCAATATGAAGTATAAATCTTTACAATTATACGTGGAATATATTATCTGGCAAATGGCAGGAAAAAATTATTTATTGAAATTTTCCATAACATCTGAGCATATTTGTGGTGTTGTCTCACGAATTATGCGTAGAATTTTCTCTTTCAACTGTTGAACTGTTTGGGGATTGTTTTCGTAAGCTTTGCTTTTTACGTAACCCCACAAAAAATAATCCAGCGGCGTCGAGTCGCATGATCTAGGTGGCCAATTTACGTCCCCATTTCTTGAGAGAATCCTCCGATCGAATCTTGTATGCAATAAATCCATCGTTTCTCTTGCTGTATGACATGTCGCACCATCCTGTTGGAACCACATATTGCTAAAGTCTATGTCCCTTATCTCATGCCATAAAAAGTCGTTAATCATCGCTCGATATCGCTCCTCGTTGGCTGCATTGGCTTTTCATAGATTTTTCTAGGATTTTCATTGCCCAAGATGCGACAGTTTTGCTTATTTACGTAACCGCTCAAATGAAAATGGGCCTCGTCGCTAAAAATGATTTTGTTGTAAAAATAATTATCCTCTGCCTTCCTCTGTAGGATCTAGTTAGCAAAATCACGGCGTTGGCCATGGTCTGCTGGCTTTAACTCCTATGTTAGCTGAATCTTGTAAGGGTGTAGAGCCAAATCATTTTTCAAAATTCGCCATGTTGAGGTTTTGCTGATGCCCACTTGCTGCGAACGCTTTGCAATAGACATTAGGGGATTGTCAGCCACACTTTGACGAACAGCTTCAATATTATCAACCGAGCGA